GATTGGTTTCTGGTAATGCATGCCTTTACCGTTGTCATGGTGCATATGTACTTGGTTCATTTACATGTGTCTAAACGAGAAATTTCTTGCAGTTTCATAATCTGTTTTACGATTGAATATCGTCGGCTGTATTGTATCCATTATCTATTGTCGACATTTCGTCATTTATAACTCATTGTTACCATGGCATTGGTGCATGCGTAGTTAATAATCGTCCAGAATCTTGTTTCAGCGAGCGTCGTTTGCCTGGCGTTGCCAAGGTTGTTCACAAGATCACCACTAACTTCTCAAGCCTAAGCAAAGTTTGATTATGAAGAAAACAAGATAAGGAATTGAGTTGCTTTTTGCAACACTGTTGTCTTCTTGATTTGACCGTTTCTTCGTAAGGCAACGAACCAGCCCTTGTTTTTATAGCGATGGGACACGAAGGAGTGATAGAAGTTCTCCTCTTGTTTCTCCTCGAATACACAGTCTTTGTTGTAGATTTGCTGCAAACCAATACAATAGACTAACATGAATTACTGTTTTAAAACCAGAATATCGAACCCAGAAACGACCTCTGGGCTGATCCAAGTCAGGGCACGGCTGACTCGCAGATCAAACCCAGAAACGACCTCTGGGCTGATCTAAGTCAGGGCACGGCTGACTCGCAGATCAAACCCAGAAACGACCTCTGGTGGACCTCACGGCTAAATCACAGATAGAACCCTGTAACAACCTCTGGGCTGATCTATCTCACGGCACGGCTGACTCGTGTTAGGTTTTGCGGACGAAGGAAAACAGGGGAAAACCCACGAATCAAGGGAGAGACCTATACGTCGTTTTGGTATGATTATGAATACCCACAATTTACTGCATGTTATTCATCGTCTGTATATACTCACCGTGGTGTATAGATCTCCTTGTTCGTTGATTGCTAAGAACCGTTGCGATGTCACACCTTTGATTACCAACAAACTTATTCCCACGGACTGGAATTCGATATTAGCTGAAATAAAATAATGAAAAGTCATGGGTCATTTGCTGCTTGGATACATTTGGATTATTACGACGCCAAAGAAAAACGTTTACGCATGTGTTTTACCATGTTCCCGTCAAAACAGCTCAAGCTTACCCCCCCCCCCCCCCCCCCCCCCCCCCCCCCCTAGATTCCGTTAATGGTTACACTCATTATTTGAATATTGAAATGAAGAAATAGAAAAGGCGCGCGCGTGCTGTGTGCAGTTAATAAAGCACGCGGGGGTTGGCAGAACACGAGAGAAGTGCTTCTCGACACTTCTCGAGTGTTCTGCCAATCCCCAAGTGCTTTAATAACTCCACACAGCACAGCAAGCAAGTTTTTTAATTTATAAAATACAAATTACAGGAATGACGAAATTGAAAGTGCGCGCGCGTGCTGTGTGCTCTCATAAAGCATGCGCATCCAACCAATCAGAACGCGAGATTTATAACAGTTATTTCCTTATGATTCATTATTCTTTTCGAGAATACGAAGACTCAGGGTTCAAAATAACCGATTCAAAACTCGAATACTGATTGGATTATTCTATATGAGGAACACCATAATCCAATCAGAATTCGAGTTGAATCGATTATTATTTTGAATCTCGAGTCTTCGTATTCTCGGAAAGAAT